AGTACCAACAGTACAGTTAATAATACCAGTATAAACACACCTTTAGATAATAATACGCTAGTTTTCTTAACCCATTTAGACCGATAATTATTTTCGTGAAAAATTTTAGTTATTTTAACTTATATTCATTAAGAGGGGTACAAACAACAATAAAAAAATATTAAAAAAAATATACAATTACTGGGGAGACGTAGGGGGGGTGTACCATATCGGGTACAGTAGGACTATATGCATACAAATATACAAGATTTTCCAATTAGCGAATTTATTTATTTTTTTGTGTGATACATATTAAAACATTCCGGGATAAGGTACAGATATTTTATTTTTTTGTTCCTGCGAATAGCATTCAGTTTTGTGTACAGGATTTATGCCAACTGCATTGGAACACACTGAAACCATGCTATTATCGTACCACCTACAAATTATTACATCATCAGAGACGCGATAATCGTAGAAGCCTCTTTCCTTTTTTTTCTTCTATGTGTCTCAACAGGCAAATTATTTATATCGATGTTATCTTCCACACGAGTCTTCATCAGTTCGATCCTCATGGGCAGGGATACTGTCAGTATAGTGCTGGTAGTAAAAAAATATCTCTTCCCTGATTACTCATATCATCATCTTCTTCAAGAACTATTGCAATTTCGTGCAGTGTCAGTGGTCTGAAATAAAAATAAAATAAAATCAGGTTTAGATATAGTTATCTATTAGTATACTAGATAGTAGGTACAAGAAGATGTTGATGTTACATAAACCTACTGTACCATATGCGGTACACCTTCTTTACGACCAAATATATCTTACTAAACTAACCTTACCGAAAATTGTTTACATGTATAATATTTCTTTAGACCTACTCTGCAAAATAGTAACGAAAAATAATATTATTTACAATAAATAATATGGAACTTACCTTTTCGAAGTCATTGTATATATTTCCTATAGTCCCCGCTGGGTGTCTTCAATAAAATTTTCAACGAAATTTGAATAAAAATACTGTTGTATTGTTGTTAATGTAAACCTAACACTCTGAGCTAATTGTTACAATTAAAAAAATAAAATATTAATTTGTGGGTAGGCCAAAATATTTTTATAAACTTACTGTACCATATTTGGTACAGTAGGTCAATATGGGTTAATTACAACGAGATTACGTTTTCGCTGCTCTAACCGTGAAAATGACGCGTGGTTTAACTTGTCGCCTGAGAAACCATCCAGTAATTATGTGGTGGCCGATTATAATGACTAGCACCGTGGTGGTGATGCCACTTTACATGGGTATCGTGGGCCATGCTTGTTATTTTGGTCTAGAGTAATAGAAAACTGAACTTTTGCAATAGAAAGTATGTGGCTTAGATTATATCGTTTGGTTCTTCTTATTTCACATGCATGAGTAAACAAACGTAAATTTTGAACTTTTTACACTCAGCCAATTAAACTGTCAAACACCAAGCGGTCACCGGTGACCGCAACCTATTGTTCTATAATTGTGTCTACAAAACCGGTACTCGACGAGTTAATGACTCCACGATCGGTGCGGTGGTTGGGCAACTGGCTGCTACTAACGTGTAGCGGAGCAACTCTTCGTGATCCACAGATTGTTGTTCCGGGTCTGGGTGTCATGTGTAGGTATGTGAACTGGTATGTTTGTAAACGCAGCTACGATACATGAGAAAATGGTAGTATAGGGGCGACGGCAAAAAAAAACATTGTTTCAAAATATAGGTTAGCGTATAATTTGTTTCTTTTTTCACCACTTACGCTAAACCAAAACGCGAAGCTTATATGTTGAGAAGTTTAAATGGAAAACAATTTAAATATACTAGAGGTGAGTTTATAAATAACAGTTTTGGCAGAATTTTATAATAGTAATGTCAAAGACGTTGAACAAAAGGTGGACATAATGTCACTTCGAAATGATTGAACCACCAAAATATCAGTGGGTTATTTATATATTTTTTTTTAAGGGGGGAATATCATCGAATGGCTGCTCCCATCTGGGTGAGGCAGGAGGGAGTGTCAGACTCTTACTGACTAAAAACCACCCCGTTCCTTCTCCTGCACGTCGAGCCGGTGTCCCGGTTACCCGTTAGGTTCTACGCGACGGTTTATTTATGTATGTGTGTGTGTAATGGGTTACCATGTTACCAGACTTATAAAAATGACAGATGTCCTTCGTGTCAATGTGTGTATGTTCTGCATATAAGTCTATAGTAGCCAGGTGCCACAGTCAATGTTTCAAGAGACAGTGTCTACAATTTCTTCAACGTTCTTTTTTTTATGAGATAATCCGGTTAACGGGCAGATGGATCACCTGATGGTAAGCAATCGCCGTCGCCCATGGACACCCGAAATACCAGAGGCGTTACAAGTGCATTACCGGCCTTTTGGGAATTAGGAGTTTGAGGATTGTGGGAGATCCGGGGATTGGGGAGACTGGGGAAGGGGGTAATTGGGCCTCCGGTAACCTCACTCACACGACGAAACACAACGCAAGCGTTGTTTCACGTCTATTTTCTTTAAGGCCGTGGTATCACTCCGGCTCTCCCACACTTGAGTATCTAACATGAAAAATTACACAAAAGAAATCATTTTTGGAACCCAGTTAAAATCTCAAACATATTATACGTACTTTAGTTAATTCTAGAATATATCCCAGACCTAATAAGGTAACTAGATTATATATAACTGGAAACCGTATCATATCCGGATACAAACGTGGAATATATCAAAATCGAGCAAATTCAATAATCATAATATCGTATGCATCTTGGCTGTGTGGTGGGTAGGGTTGGCGAATGAACAACGTTTATTTAATGCAAAAATATATTTTCTATGATAGCTTCCAATAGGCTCTGACACTGGACGTATTTGTCAAATCATACATACATTCATAACCTCATGCCTGTCTCCCATGGGGGTAGCCAGTCTATGGAACGCCAATTGCTACTATTTCTTACATACCTCTTTCGCTTCCTCAACAGTCATCAGTCTTTTCATGCATGCTCATCAGTTAAGGGTACTTTTAATTTGATCTTTCGTTTTCTTTTTGTCAAATCATTTATAATTTAACTATAAAACTCAATTTAAATAATATTATTAAACTGTCAAACACCAAGCGGTCACCGGTGACCGCAACCTATTGTTCTATAATTGTGTCTACAAAACCGGTACTCGACGAGTTAAACTATAAAATTAAATTAATTATGAGTATGCAAAAATATTTATAAAATTTTTTGATACTTTGACTCATCTATAGAGGTACATTATAATAAAATCATAGGAAAGCGAAAACTGTACTGCAAATATTTTTTTAAAGAATGCTTAGGTAATCTACAATCGACACCGAAACCAAAAATATGGTTTTTAGAATTTTCGTCTGTTTGTCTGTATGTTTGTCCGGAATAAACTCATAAAGTGCTGCACGGATTTACCTAAAATTTTGGCATGAATAGTACTGATAGATCGGGTCAACATATAGGCTACATATTATCACGTTATCACCTAAGAGAGAGGAGCTGTGAATCACTCTTCCACGCAGACGAAGTCGCGGGCACAGCTAGTTGTAAAATACAAATAGGAAGAAGATAAAATTATTATTATATTTCTATTTTTCTCTCATGCCAACCCTGAATAAACAACAGAGCACACCGTCTCAAGCCATGCACAGATTGAATTTCAATTTACACACACACACCAGCACATCACACTAGCTTGTATAAGAATTTATTCGATTATCAACTTTATATCAAAGCAAAAGAGATTAAACTCTATTACTTTCTTTTTACTCTTCTTGTTTCATCTGTAATTGTAAGTAAAGGAGTCAGGGTACGATCTAATTCGAAACCTTAAATAATTACGTTAAGATATCAAATTCCGTAAATTAACTAGGATAGTTCAGGGTTTAGATCCTAGGAATAGGATTCTGTATCACAAGCCATAGATGAAAAAAAAATTATTATATGGCAACTAGTATGCCCAAAAAGAAGGAAACACCGATTCAATTGAGAAATGAAAATACTGAAATCTTTCATTAACTTTTTGAATGCACCGAATTGAGACACAATAGAAAATGTAATGTGTTTTGCGTGGATCCACGTCTTAGACATACGAGGTTAAAAGCTGAAGACACAATCTCCAAATGATCAAGGTCTTATGAAAAAGAAATACTAAAACTGGCAAAAAATTTTGGAATAACTTAGCTAAGTATGCTAGGTGGGTAGCATTTTTATTACAAATTACCTTGATGATTTTTAACAGTAGAAATAATATGTTCTGCTTACCTATTTCCTAATTATTTTTGTTGAATTAAATTATTAATTTATAATTAAAAATTAATGCTCACATACCTTTAATACGAAAAATCACGTACACACTAAAAAACCACAGCACTTCACTTTAGAAAAAATAAATTAAATACAAAAAGTAAATAAATAAATGATAACTATTTGCTCTGCGCATGCGGCGGTGGCCACAAGATCAATGTCAACGGAACGCTCCTGATTCGCTATTTAAATGATCTAGAATCGAACATAACTCGAACATAGATCTAAGACTTTTTCTTTTTAATATTGTGTAATGGAGAAAAAATATGGTTTCCCTTCAAATTAATAGTAAAAGTTAGTTTATGGTGTTAAAGCAATTTTTATGAATGGAAGAATACTTTGTGGTTTATGGTTCGACTATTGAATTTCTATAGGATTTTGTGTTTTAGTAATTGAGAAATTGGGCCAATGTGTTTGGAACCCAATCGATTTTTGAGAATTGAGAAGACAAAATGTATTTTGATGTATTTACGTATGTGTTATTTAGAATGTAATTAGTTATGCAATACACTATAGAGTAATGGTTCTAAAATATTGCAATGATTCGAAGCTAATAATGCAAAAGTCATAAATACTCATAAAAAGAGTGTGATTCGTAATTTTTTTTTTGTTTCAAACAAAAATATTTGCTCCGCGCAATATCTGCGCGTGTGATTAAAATGACAATATCACAAAAGTTTTTTATGGGAGCTTATGTATTTTTAATTTTATTTATTAAATAACTAGCTGTGCCCGCGACTTCGTTCGCGTAGAATAGTGACTATGAGCAGCGTTTTTTTTTTAAATATATACTTATTTTTATTTTAGATTTGGATCATAATCACAGTCATTTTGGGTAGCTAAAAAACCTACTTTACTGTAATGCTTCTCTATATACAATATTAGACGTATGGCCATCGGGGGTGAAAGCATACAGGCTGCTGGGATTGCTAACACGGGACAGAGCCACATACAATTGACCGTGCGAAAAACAGCTGATACTTAGATCTATACCCACAACTTTTAGAGTCTGACCTTGAGCTTTATTAATTGTCATGGCGAAACATAGGCTCACTGGAAACTGAATTCGTTTAAAATTAAACGGAAAATTTTTTGGAATGAGAGGAATCTGAGGAATAAAACCACTATCACCTTTTCCGCACCCTGTTAAATATATATATATTTATAAGCCATTTCTGAGATTAGCGTGAACAGACAAACAGACAAACAGACAAAAAAAAAGTTAGTTACATTTTTGGGTTCGACATCGACATAACAATAGCCCCTGCTATTTTTTTTTTTTATTTTCAATGTACAGACAGCACTTTTCTACATTTTATTACATGTATAGATAGATAGATATAGATATATAGTGTTCGACGTGATTCTTTAATTTGACGTAACGTTTTTATTTATGAACCGATTGATATGAAACAAACACTAAAGCATAACTGAAGCATACCACAATATATTCGTGAAAACCGCATCCAACTCGGATAAGCCGTTTCTGAGATTAGCGTGAACAGACAAACAGACAAACAGACAAAAAAAAAGTTAGTTACATTTTTGGGTTCGACATCGACATAACAATAGCCCCTGCTATTTTTTTTATTTTTATTTTCAATGTACAGACAGCACTTTTCTACAATTTTATTATATGTATAGATAGATAGATAGATAGTGTTCGACGTGATTCTTTAATTTGACGTAACTTTTTTATTTATGAACCGATTGACATGAAACAAACACTAAAGCATAACTGAAGCATACCACAATATATTCGTGAAAACCGCATCCAACTCGGATAAGCCGTTTCTGAGATTAGCGTGAACAGACAAACAGACAAACAGACAAAAAAAAAGTTAGTTACATTTTTGGGTTCGACATCGACATAACAATAGCCCCTGCTATTTTTTTTATTTTTATTTTCAATGTACAGACAGCACTTTTCTACAATTTTATTATATGTATAGATAGATAGATAGATAGTGTTCGACGTGATTCTTTAATTTGACGTAACTTTTTTATTTATGAACCGATTGACATGAAACAAACACTAAAGCATAACTGAAGCATACCACAATATATTCGTGAAAACCGCATCCAACTCGGATAAGCCGTTTCTGAGATTAGCGTGAACAGACAAACAGACAAACAGACAAAAAAAAAGTTAGTTACATTTTTGGGTTCGACATCGACATAACAATAGCCCCTGCTATTTTTTTTATTTTTATTTTCAATGTACAGACAGCACTTTTCTACAATTTTATTATATGTATAGATAGATAGATAGATAGTGTTCGACGTGATTCTTTAATTTGACGTAACTTTTTTATTTATGAACCGATTGACATGAAACAAACACTAAAGCATAACTGAAGCATACCACAATATATTCGTGAAAACCGCATCCAACTCGGATAAGCCGTTTCTGAGATTAGCGTGAACAGACAAACAGACAAACAGACAAAAAAAAAGTTAGTTACATTTTTGGGTTCGACATCGACATAACAATAGCCCCTGCTATTTTTTTTATTTTTATTTTCAATGTACAGACAGCACTTTTCTACAATTTTATTATATGTATAGATAGATAGATAGATAGAGTTCGACGTGATTCTTTAATTTGACGTAACTTTTTTATTTATGAACCGATTGACATGAAACAAACACTAAAGCATAACTGAAGCATACCACAATATATTCGTGAAAACCGCATCCAACTCGGATAAGCCGTTTCTGAGATTAGCGTGAACAGACAAACAGACAAACAGACAAAAAAAAAGTTAGTTACATTTTTGGGTTCGACATCGACATAACAATAGCCCCTGCTATTTTTTTTATTTTTATTTTCAATGTACAGACAGCACTTTTCTACAATTTTATTATATGTATAGATAGATAGATAGATAGTGTTCGACGTGATTCTTTAATTTGACGTAACTTTTTTATTTATGAACCGATTGACATGAAACAAACACTAAAGCATAACTGAAGCATACCACAATATATTCGTGAAAACCGCATCCAACTCGGATAAGCCGTTTCTGAGATTAGCGTGAACAGACAAACAGACAAACAGACAAAAAAAAAGTTAGTTACATTTTTGGGTTCGACATCGACATAACAATAGCCCCTGCTATTTTTTTTATTTTTATTTTCAATGTACAGACAGCACTTTTCTACAATTTTATTATATGTATAGATAGATAGATAGATAGTGTTCGACGTGATTCTTTAATTTGACGTAACTTTTTTATTTATGAACCGATTGACATGAAACAAACACTAAAGCATAACTGAAGCATACCACAATATATTCGTGAAAACCGCATCCAACTCGGATAAGCCGTTTCTGAGATTAGCGTGAACAGACAAACAGACAAACAGACAAAAAAAAAGTTAGTTACATTTTTGGGTTCGACATCGACATAACAATAGCCCCTGCTATTTTTTTTATTTTTATTTTCAATGTACAGACAGCACTTTTCTACAATTTTATTATATGTATAGATAGATAGATTTACGTTTTTAATTTTAATTTTTTAATAGTAAAGAATTGCTACCTTGTGATTAATGTAAATTATTTCGTTCCTATGTCTGACATAAACGATTCATTATTGTTATTTTATTGACAGGACAAAAAGGAGACAATCTATAGGGTAAAAAATAAAATTACCCGTCTTTAGAAAAATCCTAGTTAAGACCTGATTTTCTACAAAATAAAACAGTACAAGCAATTAATATTAACTGACAAAATATTGTACTTTTACCCACAAAAATAGACTCAAAATATCAATTTAATGCAGCATGACAAAATCAGATAAAATGCCTAAGCGTACCGAATACGTTACCTAATTCCATTTTGCTCGACCGAAAACCGAATTGGGTCGACGACCCCTACCGCTAAGCCAAGTGATTCGATTTGACGAACCGTACCCATTCCTTCGACCAAAAAGATCAATTTCGGAAATGTGACAAATAATTCCTTTGTGTTAGGACAATATGTAGTTTATCTATACATCTATATAGATAAATAAAATGTATATACATAGTTTTTTAGTTTTTTTTTTGATGCCTTATTATAGCTTATTTATTTATTATTACCTTTTTTTAAGGTGTAAATATTTTAGTTCATAGTTATTTATATTTTAAGTTGTGTATATTTTCATTTAGTTATAGTTAATATTAATTTAGATAAATAAAATTAGAATATCTGTTTGAAATATTAAAACTGGTTAC